TTTAGTTTAATAATTGAAAGTTCTGTAATATATCTTATCATAGAATGTAATTTAAATCCTCTCACCATTTTATTTCAGTATCATTAGAAATAATATGGCTCTAGAAAAATCTAGTCAATGTAAGAGAATTATAAACCTCGTTCTGATTTTGAACGGCTTATCCTACAACAAGTTGCGACTATGGCTCTAATATTGTTCGGTCCCTTGCAAGTATATTGCTATTGAAAAAATTAGTTGTGAGTGTAATAAGCCTTTAAAGATGCTTTTTTATAAGATAAAATGACTTCTAGTCGTTTTACGACTGAACACCATTATTTTGTGTTCCAATGAAAAATTTGTAAAATTGCAATTTGCTAAAAGTTATCAAATTTTTGGTACAATCCCAGATTTGGATTCCTCTTGCAAAATTAAAGAGGAAATGTCTTATGCGCAGAGCCGATCAGAGTCGAAATGACAAAGTTCATAGAACCCAAAGGGATAAAAGTGTGCCAAAACGACCAAATTGTCAATTTGGAGGGGAATAACTCCAAATTGAACGTTCGAAGGGTGCGTTTTGTTCATCTACGCGAGGTACGCCCCCGTAACCTTGCGGATTACGGACAAAAACTGCCGTCAGAATTGACCTCCGACGCACCGTTTGGCCGCCAGAGGCGATTTAACACTTTATTGAACATTTGAACATTACTCTGCCATTTCGATTCCGATCATCTTTGGGCATAAAACATTTTCGTTTTCTTTTGTCAAGATGAACCCGAAACAATAGTTACCTTTGCACATTTCTCCCAAACCACTTCCCCCGCCCCCTTCATCTTACGTAAGTAAACACGTAAACCATTCCAAATATCACTTTCGTTCCTTCTCATCTCATCTCATCTCATCTCATCATAATTCCGGAATACAGTGGAATACATCAGGGGCAGATTCAGGAGCTGGCTACTCAAAGGGCGGATCAAGGCCGTCATGCTCTTGCATCCGCCCTGATATCCGACTGTATTCCGGAATTATCAGAATCGGGCACAGCACCCCTTTTCATCCCGGGGTACGACGTTTCAACTACCTACCAGTACCGGGTAGCCCTTCATCACATACCGTAACCCTTTTGAACTGCGCGCCGCGCGCGCTCCCGTCCGCCGCAACACACGCCGTTCCGTCGCTCCGCTCTCAACTAGTTCACTCTGGCCCAGTGGATAAGAGGACTGACAACCGATCGCTAGAGTCGGGGTTCAGTCCCGCCTGCCTTTTCATTTTGGCCGCAATCCACTACCTTTTTAGACAGTCCCTTGTGGTCTGTCTCTACCCGAAGGTAAAAGTTTCCAGTTTTGATAAATATTGCCGGTTCTCGTTATCCAGTTTTGATAAAGATTGCCGATTGACGTTCCAGTTCCAGTTTTGATAAACCGATTAACGTTGAGAAAGATCTGTCTTGCTTTAATATTAGGCTGTGGGGGAGGCTCGTCCGTCCGTTCCGTCCGCCGTTCCATGCCAAGCCCGGTGGCAGTCCCCTGTCATCGCTCTGCTGGAGTTGTAAACATTTACAGCCTTCGCGCCGCGCCCTGCGCCGGGTCATAATGAGCCGGCCGACCCCCACTTGAAACTCTTGAGGAACGCAGCGCTACTCCTCGCGCCCCAACCCCGCCCTCTTAGAGCTCAATCGGTACCAGGCGCCACATGGCCTGTCCACTTGACATGTGATCCCCAGTCTCAAATTTTTAATTTAAACCACTTCGCTCTGAAATATGAAATGTGCTTGTTTGCGCGCACGCAGAAATTACGAATTCAGCAAAATTTGAATGGGGATTCTAGCATAATTTGCTGATTTTCGTTGCTTTTGATTTTAACCACAGCTTTCTGAAACATGAAAAAGCGCTTGTTTTCAGCACAGTAAAATTAAAATTACGAAGTAGGCAAAATTTGAAATTTGTTTCCTGCATCATTTTCTGTCTTTTGTTGGGTGAATTCATCTATTAGACAGTCCCAGGTGAAAGTATCCCGTTTTGATAAAGGTTGCCGTTGCCGATATTGCCGATTAACGTTCTAGTTTTTGTCAACCGTTTGTCAACCGTTTGTCAACCGTTTGTCTTCAATTTGTGGACGTTAAGACAAAATTTTTCACAAACTTACGACATCCCGCTGACAAACTGTTGACAAAATAATTACAATTACTAATTTTCGTTTTGTCAACCATTTGTCGTCAGTTTGTCATAAATTTTGTCATTCGTATGTCATTTATGTATCGTTCGCCCATCGACAAAATTTTGACTAAATAATACCATAGGTTTCTACGCGGGTGGTCCCCTAGCGCGCCGCCGTCAGGGCGGCGCTTGTGTGAGCATAAACTAAAATAAACTCGAAAATAAAGCATTCCGGTAAAGCTGAAGTGCAGAAGAATGCGGGGAACAAGAAAACGGAAATCGCTATGCTTTCACATAGTGACTTCCGTTTTCTTGTTCCCCGCATTCTTCTGCATTTTAGCTTTACCGGAATGCTTTATTGCTTTCTTGGGTCGCTTAACTTATGCAAAGGACATCGACCCTTACATCAAAATAAAGGTGACAGTATGAGGATTTACAACGGTATAGTCCTTGATGTGATTGAAAGATTTGTACTCGATCAGGGCCGTTTGGCAAAATGGTCTGTTTTCCGAGATCACAAGAGCTTTTTCAACCCGTATTTTATCATGCTAGGCTATCAACCTACATAAAGCGGGCCGATTTTCTTCCTGACCTTAAACTTTACAACCCTTTTTGCCGCACTTTGATACGACTTTTGGTTTTCGAGAGGGAGGCTGTCGGCGCGCGGCCCAGGCGGGCGCGACCCATAGCGGCCAATAGGGTATTTCACCTGACGCAAACCGGATCCAAAGAAGAACAAGAGTTCTCGCTCATTGGCCGATGCCGACGAAGTTCTCGGACCCGACACTAGGGGGTCGACCGCCCTTGCGGCCAGTTCATGAACTTCGTCGGCGT